TATATGTATTTTAAGTAAATTTAAAGGCTATTGTTCACTTAGCCTACATCTATTTTTATTACCATAAAAATTAATTATTAATTATATTTTATTATTAGTAGACCAGAACACGTGGACATGTTGTCATTCTTACTACTGAACTTTGATTTCAGTGATTTGGACTATGAGATACTTGCACTTGCTTCTTGCACTCTCTGTTGCACTTTACTTTTGCTTTAAAAAAGGATTTCATAGAAATTTGGATGATTTCATTTGGAGTTTCACTGAAGCCCATTTTTTTCATCATGCTGGAGATGTCTGTTTAAATCTGTTGTTTACACATTTCTAAGAGTACTTTTAATACTTAAAATGTTTAATAATAACTTTTAATAATAAAATTGTAATACTTTGTTCTAGTGGATTCTAAACATTGCATTTATTTAATGTGAAAACCCAACTGTTGGGGTTAATTTAAACAGATTTTTTTTCCCCTTTGTAGTTGCTCTCACAGCTGTAATGAACAGAAGCCCAGAACATGTGGATATATTGACATTAAGAACATGCTGATTTTCTCAGACTTTTGTAATTATTTTCTTTTTATTTCATTTTTATTAGGTTTGTTTACATTTTTACATTTCGTCAATGGCTTGTTTACATTTATACTTTTTTATGGTACACTACTGAATGGCAAAGTTGCAAGGTTAATAAAATGTCCTTTAAAATTGTAATTTTTTGTGCAGGAAATCAATCGTTTAGATTAATCGATTAATCAATTAGTCGATAGATTAATCGAAATAAAAATAGTCGTTAGTGGCAGCTCTACACCTAGTATGACTTGAGGGAGAGTAATTTATGGGCTAATTTTCATTTTTGGGTGAACTAACCCTTTAAGCTTTACATATCCAGGGAAAAGCTGTGGATTTGGGGTGCTGACTAACAGCTTTGAGAGGAAGTCTGTCTGATTTATTCTGTGCAGGCTGTGCTTGGACGGCCCCAGTGGCCCCTTTTGGGGGACTAGAGGAAAGGCATCCTGATCATGTCAGTTAAGCCGCCTTTCCACTGCACACGACAAACGACAGCCATTGGACAGGAAGTCATTCATTTCCAATGGAGAGTCGTACAGGGGCTGCGTGGGGTGCCGACCATCTGCGAATGCGGAATTTTCGGATCCGATTTGAGCTTCGGATGCGTTCAAATATTTGAACTTGAGCGACTACACCGTATGCGACACGCCGACCGGATGTGATGTATTCCAAAGTTGTCCAATCAAATCAGTGTGTGCAAGTTGAGAATTATAATTATTTTTGTTTATCACTTTTTACTTTGTTTTAAAACATTTTAAAAATGCATGATTATTGGTGAATAATAAATTATTCATTTAATTTTATATTTTATTATTTTTAATGTTGTCTTTATTTTCCCTCCAAAATTATTGGCGGTCATTTGTCCTATATGCATAGCTGTTTATTGTTATACATGGCAAACAAAACACACCTGACAAACCGACAATCTCGCTAACTCTCTTCCAAGCCTCATTTTTCCTATTAAAGTCTCTGTATGATTCTAGAGAAGTATCATACAGAATGGGGTTTTCTGAGACCGCGAGGATAAGCTTCTCTCCCATGTTGCCGTGTACGATCATAATGAAATTTCCGTGCGACTGCCACTAGGGGGCGAATTCCGACAGTCGTGTCCGAATGTCGTGTGCAGTGGAAAGGCCGCCTTAGTTAGTGCATGAGGCCCAGTTCTGTCTTTAAAGCCGTCTCTGCAGATGAATGCTGTTTTCAGTCACGCTCACATCAGTATTTCCTCTCTCAATCAGTAGAAAATATGGTTAACACTCGGTCATGCATGAAAAAAAAAATACCGTCTTGTACCGTGAAACCGGTATAATTTTGAAAAATACCGTGATATAAATTTTTGGTCATACCGCCCAGCACTAATCTGCAGCAAAGCTTTTAAATGCATCAGACTTTCCAGTTTTTTGATTTATTTAATTTATTTTGACTTTCCATCTGTTGATTTATTGAATGATTTGGGCTGATAATGATTTTCTTCTTTCTCTTTCAGTATTATGTGCCAAGAATCTGGCAAAGAAAGACTTCTTTCGTAAGTATACCTTATTTCAACACCTTTTTCACAATCCTTTGTGTACCTTAAAGTTCACCCCAAAATTTAAATTTAGCTATTTACTGTCCTTCATGTCACTCCAAACAAAAAAACAAAAATTTGAATAATGTGCTTGTTGCTCTTTTCCATGCAATTACAATAAATTGGGCATTCAAGCTTCAAAAACGCGCCATAAATGTATGATAGCAGTAGTCCATGTTAATTGTGCACTATTTTCAAAGTCTTCTGAAGTCAGTCTGATAACTTTGTCAAAGTAAAAGTCTAAAATTGAAGTCGTAATTTCCAGATACAGCAGTGCACTAACTGCTTGAAAATCATTTAGACCAATTTTGCAAATTGGATCAACCATTGAAATGTTCAGTTCACAAATTGGACATCACTTCTTCTCTCTTTAACTTTCATAAATGCGCCAAGGTGAGTTTGGGTGGAAGGACAAAGCTATCAAATGATTTCGGAAACCTGGAAATTTAGCGCATGTGTTGTATGAAACATTTCAGTAATACTTTCGGTTTGTTTTATTTTGGAGTTTGATAACACTCCTCATTCACTTTCAGTTTGATTGTAAGTTGCAAGGATATTCTTCAAGTTCACCTTTTGTGTTTCACAAAAAGTTAAAAGAGTTTGAAATATCACTTAAACTATAAATCGACTTTAAATCCCCCTCAGAAATGGCTGTATGAACCATTTGTGATTCTGGAACATTAGTGCCTCTCTCCTCTGAGTTGTTCAGAGCCACCCACTGGCTGCTTTTATCACTGGGGGGATTCACATCCTCATTCAGTGGCTCCTCATCAGATTCCACCCACTACAGCATTGAGCACACTTCACTGTTCTGCAGTCTAGGCTCTCCATCCCAGCTGTTCTGATTGATAGGCTTGTTTGCCCCACTGGCCTCGTCAGTGTGTGTGTCCCACATATTATTCAAATGCCTGGTGTGCGTCATTCATAGATCTTGTTTCTGTGCCATGTCCATTATGCTTCTCGTATAACAAAAGGCCACATGAGAATGTATGACAAAGACGGGCAAAACGAGACCAGTTGTCCCTGATAATTATGCATTAAATTATTAGCATTAATGCCTTACAACAGATGCAGCATGTATATTTCAGTAGTCATTTTTCCCACTCACTGAAATGCTTTCAGTGGAATTGCTCTTCATTGCTTCGTGCCGCCGAATGAACGGTCCACAGAGCATGAGACTGTCCTTTCAATAACACTGAGCAAAAAGCATTGCCAAGTCTATGACTAAACAACATAATACAGGACTGCAGACTGCACATAAAATGATTGCAAATGTGACACAAAAATAAACATTTATGACAGTAATTTAAAATCTGATTAATGTTGGTGACAGACTGGAAAACTTTGAAATGCACTCTTATCTGATTTCATCTAACCCATGATGTCTGATTCTCGAGCAAATTACTGTTTTTTTTTTTAATGAAATTAACACCTTAATGAATCAGTCTCATTCTTATGAGTTAAATAATCTATCAGCTGACTAATAAACATTAAAATATGTTACAAAAATACGCCTACCTAAAATGGCTCGTTCTAACACGCCCCTACATATCTACGTCACTATGTGGAAATATTAGCATAATGCCGCCCAAATGTGCACGCAAAGAAAGAAGGCGTGGTTTCAGGAACAGCAGTAGTGTTGATGCAGCCATGTCAGGGAGACGCTGTGTTTCAGTGCGAAAGCAAAAGCACTTTATTTGGCCTTCCGAAATTAACTGTCTTTACATTTATTTTGAAAGATGAAGCTTGCTATTATGGTAAGGGGCGTTACATTTCCGACGCGTGCTTGTGGTGTTCGGCCAATCACAATGCACTGGGTCAGCTGGCCAATCAGAGCAGACTGCGCTTGTCAAAGGAGGGGGCTTTGTTGAAAACGACGTGTGTGAGAGAGGCGGGGCATAGAGGACCTACAATAATGTACAGTATTTGAAAAATAATGTGTTTTTTGAACATTAAAGCATGTCAACATATTCTGTTATACCAAATACACCAAAATAATGATCTTTAAAATAGCATCATATGACCCCTTTAACAGTACACTATGCCAACCAATTGTAAGGGGGAATCATTTTTAAGAGGAATCATTTTTAAGAGTGAACTTTGCTTGGGTGTGAATGTGTAAGGTCAGTGACACGTTGGAACCATAAAGCAAAATTTGACTGTAAAATTGGAATATGCTACACACCTTTTGCCCAGATTTTTGCCCTGATTTGCAGTCTTGAGGATTTGATACAAGTTGCCAAAAGTCAGAGCCAGTCTACAGATATTGGCCATTCGGAGCTGACAGATTTTACAGATAAATCACGATATTTATAAGGAGCACTTTTTTTTCATCCAGTCAGATGATGTCAAATATGCTTAATATTTTAAGTCTATTTTAGAACGCATTATTTTTGTTTGTCATGAGGCACGTTTCTATGCAAGTATGTTTTGTATGATGTCTAGTGTTTTAAAAATCTGTTCAGCCTTTACAGAACAGTGATATTTATGTGTCACAAATACAGTCAGGATCACTAGATTGACAGAATCAAGGTGGAACACAAATTTAAAATAAAAAACTAGTAACACATCCTAGTGTATAGGCCTATAACTAAAAAAAAGTGCATGTAAAATGACTTTCAGAGACTTTGTGTAAGCGATTCTGTAATTTGGAAACTGAAAGTCAGTTGCTCCATGGTCATTCTTTTTGGTCTGGGGATCTGTAAAGCCATCCAAATATTTGCAGTCTATCTACATTTTTGCAGCTGTCATTGTGGAAGCTGCTTAGCTGTCCAGATTGTAAGTAACAGTTTTTTTTCAAAGGGCAGTGTGAGGACAGTGTGTGACAGCTGAGTTTGTCCTCTGTTGTTTATTTGTCTTCCTGCCACACTGTCGTTCTGCTGCAGGGTTGCCTGATCCTTTCGCCAAAGTGGTGGTGGATGGCTCGGGTCAATGCCACTCTACAGACACGGTCAAAAGCACATTGGACCCCAAGTGGAATCAGCATTACGACCTGTGAGCAAATTCCTCTATAAAGTTACTGACGGCTAAATTTTATTTTCTGTTCTCAGTAGTATTCATGATGTTGTGTAGTTTTGTTCATTTAGTTTATCTTTAAAATGATGGAAACAATATTAGCTAGAGATTTTAAAAGGAGGAAATTGCTAAAGAGAGTCTTTCCGCAGGTATATTGGGAAGACTGATTCCATCACCATTAGCGTATGGAACCACAAGAAGATCCATAAGAAGCAGGGTGCGGGTTTCTTAGGCTGTGTGCGGCTCCTGTCCAACGCCATCAGCAGACTAAAAGACACCGGCTGTGAGTGTGATACTTTTATAGCCTGCCGTGATCTCTTCATTGTGCCATATCACAGTCGTTACATGTCTTCATTAAATTTGTGTTAAGCTGTATATCTGTAGTCTATAAAAGTTTGATGGCCTAGTTTAATTACATCTTGTCATTTATCTCACCATCAGACCAGCGTTTAGACTTATGCAAGTTGAACCCATCTGACAGTGATGCTGTCCGTGGACAAATCGTTGGTACGTATTAAACACTGCAGGTAGAACTTGTACAGAATTTTTCAGATACAGTGGGCCCAATGTATTTAGCCACTTTGGCGACACTTTTAAAATAAGTATGTATTTGCACTAGATAACAAAAATGTAGTGTTTATTTTAAAGAAAGATAACACAAGTGGAGTTTTTTCATTCAAAACATTTAAGATGAAATTTGACTCATTAAAGTGAAGTTAGTCCAGAGAAAAGCATTATTTGTTTGTTTTATTTTGTAATTTTCTTGTGACATTGAAGTGTCTAAATTCAAATGTCAGCTATCAAACTAATGATAGTTTATTTTCTGTTTATTTTAAAGAACACAAGTGATACAAGTCCACTTGATAACACAAGTGGAGTTTTTTCATTCAAAACATTTAAAGCAGCACTATGTAACTTTTGGCTTTGGAAGATGAATTCATGATGTTCTCGCTCATTATATACATTTTGCAAATTTTTAACACAGAAAAAGTTACATAGTGCTGCTTTAAGATGAAATTGGGCTCACTAAAGTGAAGTTAGTTCAGAGAAAAGCATTATTTGTTTGTTTTATTTTGTAATTTTCTTGTCATTGATGTATCTAAATTCAAATGTCTACTATCAAACTAATGAAAATTTAAATTGCTGAATCAGTATTTGACTAAATGAAGAGTCTTCGAACTAAATGAATTTTCTTTAACCATTTTCTTTATTTTTGTAGTGAGTCTGCAGACCAGAGACAGAATTGGCAGTGGAGGGCCTGTGGTCGACTGTAGAGGACTGGTAGAGAATGAAGGGTGAGTCAACTTTTTGTCTTAGAGGATGCTTTTTTTTTTTTTTTTTTAAGCACGGACTGGCTACATGCCCAGATAAAGCACTTTATTTGAGCTTCCTAAAGATCTGTTAGTTTCACAGTTCATCACTGTTTTGATCATCAATACCAAGACCCATTGAAATGTTTGTGTGGCTGTATGTGTTTTAACAACTGCTCTGTATGTGTATGTTTCAGGCCTGTCTTTGAAGACTCGGGGCCCGGGCGGCCTCTCAGCTGCTTCATGGAGGAGCCCATGCCATACACAGATCCTACAGGAGCCGCTGGTGGAGGCAACTGCCGTGCACTCGAGTCGCCCAATCAGGAGCAACGGCTCCAAGCACAACGCATCAGAAACCAAGATTCCAGAGGGCATGCACACACCCCCCAAAACAGACCACACGGACCCCAATCCCCTGACCTCCCTGAGGGCTATGGTAAGATAGAACGTTAGAAATAGGTCAATGGTCGATTAGTAAAAATTTACCCAATCTGATTGTTTTAGCTTATTATTTTGTATCTGTGCTTTAAAACACAAAACTGGTACTGCCATCAGAGCACTGCTTTTATAACAAATTCACTTTTTTCAGCACACTTCAAATTGCCTGGTGTCGTTATTATAGTACTATGTCGTTTTGCACATCCCCAGTGCGTATACCTGATCTCTTACCCACAGTACTGCTAGAGTCCATTGAGACTAATACAGCTTAGCGATCAGGGTAGAGGCTACTAAAGTGCATTGAACTGGAGAGACTGAGCTCTGAAAGGAGTCTATTCACTCTGGCACTACAGCCCGCATTACACAGGTGGATCAGCTGTGGTAAAGCCCCTCATTGGAGTGTAACCGTGCCTGACCCTGTTGGTGTTGTGGTCGAGTCCTCTACCATAACCAGTGGATGGCGCCAGTGTAATTAAATCTCAGACTAGACATGCCACACTAGCTGTGTGCCGTCTGAGAACTGGAAGCTCAGCATCCTGTTGCAGTAGCCCTGGCGCTCGTTCAGGTTACGTGTAAACTGGCATCTGGGTTAGCTGTGGCTCATTCACTCATGACGTGTCTGTTCTCTTTTCTAATGCAGAGCAAAGAACCACCGTGCAGGGCCAAGTCTATTTTCTGCACACACAGACTGGCGTGAGCACCTGGCATGATCCCAGAATACCCCGGTAGGTTTAATCACCACCCGCCTTTGCTGAAATAACGATTGCCACAGTTTGATTGCTCCTCGCTGCTTTTGTGATATCACTCTAATCGTAGCTCTTTAATGTCCACAATCAGCTAACTTGATATCCAGCAATCTCACTTAATAGCTGCTACTGTTGACATTGTGAAGCTTAATAATTTGCTCATCATCATAATAATGACCTCAGAAGCATGAGGAAAGGGACGCGAAAAGAAGCCTATTAGTGAGAAGAGCAGGGTGGGAAATCAACACATGCCACCAGCTAAATGTAGACACTTTTTGTGCAGTGGCAGGTTGTTTTGCCTTAACAGTAGGGTTGGGTATCGAGAACCGGTTCCAGATTTCCATTTCGATTCCACTTAACATTAATTTGTTTACTTGTCTTTAACAATTTAATGTTTGAAATTTATATTAGTCTAGTTGTTTTTTTCTGTGGTATTTTTTGATAAAACCATAGACATAAAACAGATTAAATATGTTGGACATCTAAATATTTGACTTAAAATTTGTTTAATGGATTTTTTTATCTTATTGGAATCGGAATTAGGAATCGATAAGCAGAATCGGAACCGGAATCGGAATCGATAAAATTCAAACGATACCCAACCCTACTTAACAGTCACTATTGCATGTGACCTCTTAAATTGGTCAAATAGCATGCTTGTATATTCAACACACACATGTGAGCATGTTTTGAAGTTCACCATTTGTTTTCATCTTCTGCTTCGCCAACATCTCTTTAAGGCAAGTCTCGGTCCACTTGGTGGATGTCTTTGTAATGCTCCTGGGCAGCTTTTTTTTAATTTGGGAAATAAATACTAGCTCTACTTGCATGGAGAAAATTGACTTTTTAAAAAATAAATTAATACTTTTATTCGGCATTAAATTGATCAAATGTGACAGTAAAGTCATTTATGCTACAAAAGATTTCTATTTCAAAAAAATGCTGTTCTTTAGACCTTTCAAAGAATCCTAAATATTGATAATAGTAAGAGATGTTTCTTAATGATTTCTTAAGGATCATGTGACACTGTAGACTGAAGTAATGGCTGCTGAAAATTCAGCTTTGCCACCACATGAATAAATTACATTTGAAAATATATTAATATAAAAACATTCATTTTAAAATGTAGCAATATTTCATAATATTAAGCATAAGAGATTTCATTTCAAACATTAAAAACTCTTACCCACTCTTTTGAAATTAACAAAAATATAAATGGTTAGTAAAATCTGAATGTCTATCAAAATAGGGCACTCACCTGCCATTGTGGCTGGTGGATGGAGAAAAAAAAGTTTTGGGGCACCATTATATGTGTTTAGCACCAGGTGTGATGGGTGCGCTTGCTCCTTCAGGGATTTGAACAGCGTGAGTTGTGAGGAGCTGGGCCCTCTGCCGCCCGGCTGGGAGATCAGGAGCACTGTGTCAGGACGAATTTATTTTGTCGACCACAATAATAGAACCACGCAATTCACCGACCCCAGGTTACACCACATCATGAGGTAAAACATCTTTCACATCGGCTCTGCTCCATAACATCTGATTACTCATCCCAGCTCTTAAATGATCCTGTTAATTATTCACCACAATGAATAAATCATCCTTGTGTAATTAAAGTCGCTAGTATTGATAATTGCTTGCTCGTTTAAGGGTTTATTAAATTAATTCTTAACATTTATTTAATTCCTAATCGTCCCTAGTGGGAGTGTAACCCAAATGATGCATAAAAATTTCATGGTCCAGTGGCTTGATAAACTGCTATCAGTGTTTGGATGTATTGGTACACATGTGACATATGTGTGTGTTTTGCATGTGATGAGCAGCCAACACTCTCAGGTGAAGGAGTCGAGCCAGGCTCTGCCCGTACAGATAGAAGTTGGCATGGAGGAAGGTGATGGCGAGTTACCGGTGCGCTACGAGAGAGATCTGGTCCAGAAACTCAAAGTTCTCCGCCATGAGCTCTCCCTGCAGCAGCCTCAAGCCGGCCACTGCCGCATAGAAGTGTCCCGCGAGGAGATCTTTGAGGTACTCGCAGTCACAGCTGAATAATGCCAGTCATGTAGTGCATGCATAATTTAGTTCTAACAGCACTGTGGAACTGTTTTTGTCATTGGAAGTGACTAGGGATGCATCACGATTAGGTTTGCACACTGATGTAGAGCCCTGCACGGGCCTCAAATTTAGGCCCTAGCCCGGCCCGTGTTCGACAGCTTATCAGAATTACCGACCCGAGCGCGTCTTTTTTTCACCTTTTCCCAAAACAGCTTATACTACTGTTTCAGCTATTTAAATAGTTCAGTTTTATAGTTAAATATAAGTTTTTGTTTTTTTAAAGTAACGACCAAGCGGCCAGCGGCAGACAGTGAGCCTATGTTTGATCAATTTAGCCCGGTGATGGGCAAACTTGGTCCTTCCAGGCCACTTTCCTGCAGAGATTTGATCCAACCCTGGTAAATCTCACCTGCCTGTAGCCTTCTAGTAGTCTTGAAGACAATAATTAGCTGGTTCAGGTGTGTTTGATTAGGGTTGGAGCTAAACTCTGAAGGAAAGTGTCCTGGAAGGGCCAAGTTTGCCCACCCCTGATTTAGCCTTCTCAAATCATCACGACTTGCCTAAAATAAAATCTATAGATATAAAACAGTTCAAGCATATAACAATGTTTAAACGTTAAACCTAGATAAATGTGCGCTATATCCAATAGTTTGTGCGGAGAGTGGAAGCTAAAGCGTGCTTTGCAGGACATGGTGGCGCCAGCGCGATCACTTGCATCTTTTTCAGTGGATACGCCGTCATTTTTGCTCATAAATGTCAATATGGGGTGCTGTGTGTACATTAATGAGGAAAAAAAATTAACTTAAATGATTTTAGCAAATGGCTGCAATATAACAAAGAGTGAAAAATTTAAGGGGGTCTGAATACTTTCCGTACCCACTGTATATATAGAAAGCTTTAAATTACTACTTCACGAAATAAAACAAATCAAAAATATCTCCTTACTATTTCCCCATGTCACATTTATGGTAATTACTTTTGCCGGTGCTTTGCGGCAAGCTTAAGCCTATTGCTTGCATTTGAACGCAGAACTGTTCAGCTGCGCTGATGGCACGCACCATACATACTGCTGCTGCAGGACACTAAACACCGTCGAGCCGCTCTTGACAGTCGCGGTAGCACGGTCTTGTGAGGCAATTTTTTCATCACTAATTGATGGATGTCTAAAATATAAAAAATAAGGAGAAGCCTAAAACAGGCCCGAGGCCCGGCCCGGCCCGCGTTTGAACAATGATGTGAAAATTGGCCTGAAGCCCGGCCCGAGGGGCTTAAAAAAGTCGGGGCCCGTCGGGCCCGGGCTGAAATGCAGGGCTCTACACTGATGCTTGCTGTTTGGTTTCCAACAGTAGGATGCCATTATCAGTATCTTAAGTAATGCTGCAGTTTTTGGTCACAGCAATATGAGACTGAGATCATTTTAGGAGAGCAAGTCTATTATTTTTTTATTTTGTACTTTAATACACGTCACTGGTATTCCTGTGCATGACTCATCAGTGCACATTATTCCAAAGAAAAGAAAATGGGTTGTAATCTTTTATCCCCAAAAAATATATATATATAAAATTGATATAAAAATAAAATTGTGAAATATTATTAGCATTAAAACTCTTTTCAGTCACACTTCATGGTCCAATTCTCACCATTAGCAAACCATTAACTATGACTTTTGCCTCAAACTCCTAATTTGCTGCTTATTAATAGTTAGTAAGGTAGTTAAGTTTAGGTATTGGGTAGGATTAGGGTTGTAAAATATGCTCATGCAGAATATGTGATTTATAATTACTAATAAACTGCCAATATGTTAATAATAGGCATGCTAATATGTAGCTAGTTAATAGTGAGAATTGGTCTCTAAATACTAAAGTGTTACCCCCTTTTCTATTTGAGTGTTTTTTTTAAATGCAGTTTTTTCCTGTGTTGGCAAAGCTGAATTTTCTGTCTGTAGTGTCACATGATTCTTATTTATATTATTCTAATATTCTGATTTATTAATCCATTTCTCGTTAATGTTGAAAACACTTGTGCTTCCTAATGTTTTTGTAGAAACTGTGGTACAATTTTGTCATTTTTTTAAATGAATAGAAAGATCAAAAGAATAACATTAATTTGAAATGTATACATTTTTTATAACATTATAATTGTCTTTACTGCCACTTTTAAACAATTTTTATGTCCCTTTGTTGAAAAAGTATGAATTTCTTTAATATCATATTGACCCCAATCTTTTGAATGGTAGTGCAATAACTTGCTATTTGAAACCTTCCTTTGAAACATTTTTTGACTGATAATAGCCATAATAGCCTAAATTTACACATTTTAAGCTAGTTTAAGACAATGTTTTTACTCAGAAAATACATTAAAAGACATTTTTTAAAAGATCTCTCCTGAAAAATTGTAGAATTTTTACCATGGATTAAATTACTAGATTCTATGATTTTTATCAGTACTATTGTTGTTACTTGTTTTTGTATAGTGATTGCTTAAGAAAATGTTAAATTATTGTAAAAGATGTATTGAAATGATACTGTTAATGTTGTCATGAATATAGCTTTTGTTGCTTATATGGTGTTAAAACATAAATAAATTTAAGCTAGTTTAAAATTTGTTTCATTTAGAACTTAATTCATAATTTATGTAAATGTATTGTTTCACTCAGAAATATGTCTCATTTCTGTTCTATCTGTGCAATAGGAGTCTTATAGACAGATCATGAAGATGAGACCCAAAGACCTGAAGAAGCGGCTGATGGTGAAGTTCAGAGGAGAGGAGGGGCTGGATTACGGTGGAGTTGCTAGGTAGCATTATGAACCTGTTCCATGCGAAAGGTTCTCATTAATTAATTTCCCCTGTGCCTCATTATTCCCCCATCTCTTTTCATACGCCAGACTTGACTTTATAATTTCAACAGTTTAGGCTGAATCTCAGCCAGGCTTATCAGCATGCAGGGTATCGTGTTCATGATATTGCAGGTGTTCCCCTGTTGAGCACAGAGTTTAGACTGAACTGCAGCCAGCAAGACTCAGATATGAGTCCTATCTGAATTCCTGTCCTGTTCCAGGGAATGGTTGTATCTCCTCTGCCATGAGATGCTGAATCCATACTACGGCCTGTTTCAGTACTCGACTGATAACATCTACACACTACAGATCAACCCAGACTCATCCATCAACCCTGTAAGTCATGCGGCGACCTGTGCTTGGGATTTCTCTTCTAAACAAGACCCAGTAAATCAGTATGTTATGAAGACATTTAGCATAGGCTGTGCTTCTTGGACCTCACAACATATGGTCGTCATGTGTGCTTTAAAAGGTTCACCAAGCGGTTCTCTGCTGCTGCAGTGTCTCATTAAGCTTCCTCTCACGCCCTCTGCTGTTTTTTTTCAGGACCACTTGTCTTACTTCCACTTTGTTGGGCGGATTATGGGTCTGGCTGTTTTCCACGGGCACTACATCAATGGAGGCTTCACCTTGCCCTTCTACAAGCAGCTCCTGGGGAAGCCCATCCAACTTTGTGACCTTGAGACTGTGGACCCAGAGCTGCACAAGAGCCTCGTCTGGATACTGTGAGTGAATTTTATAAGAAATGTACTGATCAATTTCTGTTGAATTAAATTTATTTTGCTTAAAGAAAATCAGGATCAAGAGAGAGCGCTTATATTTCTCACAGACTTTTCTATACCACTGTTGTGCTTGTCCCACATTTAAAGTAAAGACTTTGGAATTACACAAGCCTGAATGTGACACATCTATCATCTGGCTAAAATTGGATTTCAAAAATAAGCAACCCCTTCCCAATTTTTTTACAATAAAATAACAATTAAAAAATGTCTACAGCACCAGTTAAAGGTTACACCAGTTTGTTGTTATTAGGATTTTTCACATTTTATAATAATAATAATAAAATAGAATAATAAAACCATCCAAATTATGTAATGACACAAGTATAGAATATATAGGAATTAGGGCTGGGCAAGGTAACTCGTTATTGCATTAACGCGGACAATTATTTTATCGCGCATTAACACTGTTTTTTTTTTTTTATTATTATTATTGTTATTATTTTGAAAGCCGGTTGCTCACTGGCTCTGAATACACATACAGACAAACCATGGGTCACTGGAGGGGTGGGATGTTGATCAGTACTGGCTTGGGATGGGTGTCATCACGCGTCTCAACCAGTGAGAGCATTTGGGGTGGGCCTAAGACTGCAGCAGCACTCACATGAAAGTTCCCGATAAAATTATTTAGGCTAAGCATCAACATTCACAAACCACTGTTCACTGTTATTTTTAACAGAAAAGAATGCAACAAGCTCGTAATCACGACTTCATAAGTGGGAAATAGGAAGTTTCCGATAGCACGTGAAGACAGCAGAGAAGCGCTCTCGCTTAGCACAGTGGAGTGCATCGTTTTGTTAACTTTGTGGTTTATTATTTTGAGTCATTTGGGATGAGGTAACACGGCCCTCTCACAATATATTGCTTTACAGATGTATCACTTTTGCCGCTAAGAAATGTACATGCAATCATGCTGCACGTATCGGAAGTTCCGTGCTCCGGCGCGGTTAGCGCTCACAATACATGCGTACCGTGCCCGAGCCCAACCGCGCTCTGGCCCACCTCTTCCAACCGAGCCAAGGCCGGCTAAACGAACCGCGCCCGAGTGCAACACGGAGCGATCACATTAGTCAAATGAACCTGGTTTTGGGGGTCAAACGCGCTCGGGCGCGGTTAAGATTGCCTAGTTCAAATCAATTCAAGTTTATTTTGTATAGTGCTTTTCACGATGCAAATCGGTGCAAAGCAGCTTTACATAAAATTAAAGATTCTACATTATATTTAGTAGTAGATTATCAGTGGTGACTATCTCAAGTTGATGTCCATTATAGTAAAATTTGGTAGTTTTGTATGTTGTCTGAGGGTTGGCATCATCTGAGGTCCTCTGGGGGGTTGGCATCATCTCTTCTCAGGTGTTCGGTCATCTCAGGTTTTTGTAAGGGCTGGATCCAGACTGAAGCTTGTGTAATTCCTAGTTTGGCAGAAGCAGAGAAGGTAATAGAGAAAATTTAGCGTAGCTGCTGTTCCAACTAAGCAAAAAATGATGTGTTCAACCCAAGCAAAAGAATGAAAATGTGCATTTGATCAGATGTAACTGAAGTACAAGGTTATGAGATACATTATGTGAATGCTTGGCTAAAGAAATGTGTCTTTAATCTAGATGTAAACAGCGAGAGTGTGTCTGAACTAGAGGGTGACACGGGAGTGGATTTTCAAACCTCTCCCGTCCCACTCCCACAAAAAAAAAATGTGCTAGATTTAAATCAGCACAGCCAGTGAAGGATCGTTTTGAACGAGCACACCTTTTTTTAACAACCAAAAAATGGTTTCGTGGTCTGTTGAGGAAGTACAGACATTCCTCTCGTTGATAGCTGAGGAGTGGATCCAGCGAGAGCTTGGAGATGCAGGACAACCACCTAGCAGTGCATTACAATAGTCCAGTCTAGAGGTCATGAATGCATGAACTAGCTTTTCTGCATCAGAAACATGTAGCATGTTCCATAACTTGGCAATGTTTCTAAGATGGAAGAATGCTGTTTTTATAACATGGGAAATATGATTTTCAAAAGACAAGTTGCTGTCTAATATAACACCGAAATTTTTGACTGTAGAGGAAGTAACGGTACATCCGTCTAGATGCAAATCGGAATCAATTAGATTCTGTGTACTGTTTTTTGGTTTAATAAGTAATATCTCGGTCTTATCCGAATTTAATAGGAGAAAATTATTGTCTTTTGGTCCAATAAGTAATATCTCTGTCTTATCTGAATTTAATAGGAGAAAATTGTTGGTTTTAACACATTCTGTTAGCTTAGATAATTTAGAAGTTTCATCTGGTCTTGTTGAAATATATAGTTGAGTATCATCAGCATAACAATGTAAACTAATCCCATATTTTCTAATAATATTATCAAGGGGCAACATGTATATTGAAAATAGCAGAGGGCCTTGGACAGATCCTTGTGGCACTCCATACTTTACTGAATTTATTTGAGATGATTCCCCGTTTAAATAGACAAAGTGAAAGCGATCGTAAAGGTAGTATCTAAACCATCTTAAAGCCTGCCCTTGAATACCTGTATTAGGGGTGTGCCGGTACGAGTATCGGTACCGAACGGTTCACGGGGCAAATTCCAAATGGAAGTGATCATCCCTATCCCCTTGGAGTGGGGACTTTGGAGTGAGCAGGGCACGTGCGTGCCATTATGTAGTCGTTTGGAATGCACTTGGCAAAGGGAGCGACGTAATTTCCTCATTATCTTCAGCTGGCATGTTCCCGTGACAACACAGCACGGTGTCCGTCAGAAAAAAAATATACATTTTATATTTTAAGAAGTTTTATATATATTAGTTTTTATATATTATATAGCATATTTTAAAAACTTTTTAAAATATAAAATGTATGTTTATTTGCAACAGTTATGCTAACAACAATAAAAAGACATTTATGATAGTAAAACATCGACATCTGCTGACGGACACCATGCTGCATTGTCACCGGAACATGCCAGCTGAAGATGAGGAAATTACGTCGCTCCCTTTGCCAAGTGCATTCCAAATGACTACATAATGGCACGCACGTGCCCTGCTCACTCCAAAGTCCCCACTCCAAGGGGATAGGGATGATCACTTCCATTTGGAATTTGCCCCGTGAACCGTTCGGTACCGATACTCGTACCGACACACCCCTAACCTGTATAGTTTTGTAATCGATCTATGAGTATGTCATGATCTATGGTGTCGAACGCAGCACTAAGAAAACTAGCAATGAGATACAGCCTGAGTCTGACGCGAGAAGCAAGTCATTTGTAATTTTAACAAGTGCAGTTTCTGTGCTATGGTGGGGGTGAAATTCTTCATAGAGATCATTTTTTTGCAGGAAGGAGCACAATTGAGCAGACACAACTTTTTCTAACATTTTAGACATAAACAAGAAGATTTGAAATGGGTCTGTAATTTGACAGTTCACTAGGATCTAGTTGTGGTTTCTTAATAAGAGGCTTAATAACCGCCAGCTTGAATGGTTTTGGGAAAACGAGATAACGACGAGTTAAGAGTATTGAGAAGCGGTTCTTCTGCTACTGGTAACAACTCCTTCAGTAATTTAGTGGGTACAGGATCTAATACACATGTTGTTGGTTTAGATGCAATGATAAGTTTATTTAGATCTTCCTGTCCTATAGTTGTAAAGCACTGCAGTTTTTCTTTGGGTGCAATGAATGAAGCTGAAGTATTAGACGCTGTCGATTCTACATTTGTTATGGTATTTCTGATGCCATCTATTTTATCAGTGAAGAAATTCATAAAGTCATCACTACTAACTTAGTTTGGGTGACGTCTGATTATTTGTTAATCTAGCCACTATGCTAAATAAAAACCTTGATAACCGCCAGCTTGAATGGTTTTGGGACGTGACCTAAAGACAATGACGAGTTAATAATATTGAGAAGTGGTTCTTCTGCTACAGGTAACAACTCTTTTAGTAATTTAGTGGGTACAGGATCTAACAGGCATGTTGTTGGTTTAGATGCAGTGATAAGTTTATTTAGCTCTTCCTGTCCTATAATTGTAAAGCACTGCAGTTTATCTTTTGGTGCGATGAATGAAGCTGAAGTATTATATGCTGTAGAATCTACATTTGTTATTGTATTTCTGATGTTATCTATTTTATCAGTGAAGAAATTCATAAAGTTATTACTATTAAACTGTGAGGGAATATTTAGATCGGGTGGTGTTTGGTTATTTGTTAATCTAGCCACTGTGCTAAATACAAACCTTGGATTGTTTTGGTTATTTTCTATGAGTTTGTGGATATGCTCGGCCCTGGCAGCTTTTAGAGCCTGTCTATAGCTGGACATACTGTTTTTCCACGCAATTCTAAAAACTTCCAAGTTAGTTTTTCTCCATTTGCGCTCAAGACTACGAGTTTTTTTCTTGAGAGAATGGGTATTACTGTTGTACCATGGTGCAGTACGTTTTTCTCTAACCTTTTTTAATTTAATGGGGGCAACAGCTTCTAATGTATTAGAGAAGATAGTGCCCATATTGCTAGTCATTTCATCTAGTTCATGTGTATTTATGGGTACAGAGAGCAGTTGAGATAAATCAGGGAGGTTATTTCTGAATCTATCTTTAATGGTTGGAAAAATAGTTCTTCCTGGGTGACAACGCGGAGCCATATAGTTAATATCAGTAATACGCAGCATGCACGATACAAGGTAGTGGTCAGTAACATCATCACTTTGAGGTACTATATCTATATCAGTAAGATCAATTCCATGCGATATAATTAAATCTAGTGTATGATTAAAACGATGAGTGGGTCTGGTTATGTTTTGCTTGACTCTTTTAGAGTTCATTAAGTCTGTAAACGTAAGTCCTAACACATCATTTATATTATCAACATGAATGTTAAAGTCTCTGACAATTAGTTCTTTATCAACATTAACCAATATGTCTGAGAGGAAATCTGCAAATTCTTTTAGGAAATCTGTATACGGACCTGACGGTCTATACACAGTAACCAGAGCAAGAGATAGGAGAGATTTCTTTTGCATATGTGACAGTGTAACATTAAGCAGAAGTATTTTGAATGAGTTAAACCTGTATCCTGTTTTCTGAGGAACATTGAGAATATCACTATATATTGTTGCAACACCGCCGCCACGACCAGTCTGACGGGGCTCATGCTGGTCGTGGCCTAATGGTTTGAGAGTCGGACTCGTAACCGAAAGGTTGCAAGTTCGAGTCTCAGGTCCGGCAGGAATTATAGGTGGGGGGAGTGAATGTTCAGCGCTCTCTTCCACCTTCAGTACCACGACTGAGGTGCCCTTGAGCAAGGCACCGAACCCCCAACTGCTCCCCGGGCGCCGCAGCATAAATGGCTGCCCACTGCTCCGGGTGTGTGTTCACGTGTGTGTGTGTGTTCACTGCTGTGTGTGTGCACTTAGGATGGGTTAAATGCAGAGCACTAATTCCTGGTATGGGTAACCATACTTGGCCACATGTCACGTCACTTTCACTTTTTTATAACAGTAGCTTGGTGGAGTAGCTTAATTTAGACCAATATAGTCATTTGGTTTGAGCCAGGTTTCAGTCAAGCAGAGTACATCAAAACTATTATTTTGATCATTTCATTTACAATAACTGCTTTGGATGAGAGTGATCTAATGTTTAGGAGCCCAAGCTTTAAAAATGTTTTTTGTTCATTTATTTAGCATTTTTTCAGTTTAATCATGATCAGGTTTTTTCTAGATCCTGCATTAAATTTATGTTTTGACCTTACTATTCGGGGAACAGACACAGTTGTTATAGATTGGACAAGGCAAGTACTTTTATCGTTTAAGTGGGTAGAACAGAAGCCATCATAGCAGTTATTTGAGAATTGGCTTACTAGTCATGGAGCGTAGCGTCCTGGAGATGTTGTCCAACAGGAGTTCCGCTCCGACTCTGCTGGGGTGCAGGCCATCAGCACGAAAAAGCCTAGGACGCTCCCAGAAAAGATTCAACTACTACTAGGCTATGTAAAAGGAATACTGCGGTAAAAAAATACCTTTTGTTTAAAGTGTTTGCAAACAAACTGTTATTGCACTTTTGTTCATATTGCTGTACTTTTAAATGGAAAAAAGTGCGCAATACACTACTTTTGAATTCATTATTGAATTTTGTGCATAATGCGATTAATCGCAGACAATCATGCGATTAATTGCGATTAAAAAATGTAAACATTGCTCAGCACTAATAGGAATTATTTTATTTATTTAATTTTATTTACTGCTTTTAATGTATGCTAATTTAAATGTAAAAAAAAAATTTTTTTTATAAGAATATAATGAAAATCACCATTGTAAATATTGGGAATTACAACCAAAAATTGACAAAAAAAACAAAGTGAAATGTCCAGATGTGTTTTGGGTTCAGTGGTGACAAACAAACAGCTTCATATTTATTTGTTGTTAATGGGTAGACTGTTGAATGTAAGCAACAATATAAATAACTTTGCTATATTTGTCTTTTGTCTTTTTAGAGAGAATGACATCACATCTGTTTTGGACCACACCTTCTGCGTAGAACATAATGCTTTTGGCAAATTCCTCCAACATGAGCTGAAACCAAACGGCAAGAACATCCCGGTCACAGAGGAGAACAAGAAAGAATATGTGAGGTATGAAGAGGTGCACACATGTGGGCTAACCAGACACAGCAAATTCATGATCACGCACTCAGAGAAAGTCATCCAGCAGAGGGCAGCAGTCACATGGCTAGTTGGGCTTGGCAGAGGTTTTAGGAACCTCACTGCTTTTTCCACTGTCAATTTGATTGAGTGAACCCTGGATATATAAGCTTCCGCTCAAGAATATTAGTGGAATGTCAATTTTTATGGGAGTCTTTATTGTGTGCGAGTCATTGCCAAATAGAAATGAATCAGAGGTTGTTAATGGAGGACTGTGGGGTGCAGATGCCTCTTAGTGATCTCCATGTTCCACTGCAGCTCTCTAATGATTGATTGTGTCTCCGTTAGGCTGTATGTCAACTGGAGATTCATGCGTGGCATTGAGGCCCAATTCCTTGCCCTGCAGAAGGGCTTCAACGAACTCATACCACAGCATCTGCTCAAGCCTTTTGACAACAAGGAACTTGAGGTAATTCAGATATTTCAGACACACTGAATGGATAGACTAGTGTCAGAAGGGGGGAGATGGAACATTTGTGTTATATAATGAATAGGAGAGTCATAACACTAGATATGACATTTCAACCAAATATTAGATTTTTTTTTTTCAGCTGAAATCAGAGACATTATTAAAACATACTCTTATTGCTCTCATAGAAGCTATTAGGAATGGTGAAATCATTAAATGAACATTATAAATGTCTTTTTACTGTACTTTTTTAGAAAGAATGCATTAAATTAAAGCCGCAATTAGTGTTGTCACGGTACCTAAATTTCAGTATTCGGTACCAATACCAGTGAAAATCCACGGTTCTCGGTACCAATTTCGGTACCAAAGCAAAACACAAAAACATGCTAATTGAACAACATTTTTATTAATAACGTTAAACAAAAATTAAATGTACAAAACCAATGCCATTCTTTATACTTATTTAAAATTGTTTCAAGTTTTTCCACAAGTAATAAAAGTATGAAAAAAATAAACAAGTTTCACTCAAAAGTTTAGTCATAGTTCTGCTGCCACTGAAAAACATCTGTAAACTGTTGTCTGTTTTAGGGTTTGCTGGTGTGTTTCAGGATCTTCCTCAGTCTGCAGCTGTAAAAGGAAAATATAATATACTTAAGTAAAGCAATGGGCTGAGTCTGACCAAATGCAACATAAGATCATTGACACCAGCTAAAATATAACTTTTCAGGAAATAACAAACCTCAGCCTTTATAATAAATTTAGATAAGATTACATATATTAAGTGTATATCAAATAGATGCAAACTGTAGTATTAAAAACACTTTACAATAACTGGTAAAATTCGCATTCCAGGGGCTAAATATCACGTTAATGGGGTCGTTTTTCAACCCGCGGACATGAAAAACAACCTGCGGCAACAGTGTTAAAGCAGCCCAATTCCGCAGGAAAACCGCGGACTTTGCAACACTGGAAGAGGATAGCTTTCGGATAGCGCATCAAGAACCGGGTTGACCGGGTACTCGGTACCACCGGTACTTTAAAAAAACCTGGTACCGTAACATTTTCATTTTTTTTTGTACCGACTTGGTACCGAAATAGCCGTAATTTTTTACTGACCCCCAAACTGGAGGAGTAGTGTATCTCTATCAAACTTACTCAATCAAAGGCCGTTCCCTGCTCCCTCTTCATTTTTTTTCTATTCACCTCACTATCAGTAAATGTGATGAAGAGGTCAAAAATAATTTTTGTTTCTCTCTGCATTGTAGCTGATCATCGGAGGTTTGGGCAAGATCGATCTGAACGACTGGAAGGCCAACACACGGCTGAAGCACTGTGTGGCTGACAGTAACATAGTGAAGTGGTTCTGGCAGGCAGTTGAATCGTTTGACGAGGAGAGGAGAGGCAGACTGTTACAGTTCGTCACAGGCTCCACACGTGTCCCTCTACAAGGCTTCAAAGCACTGCAAGGTGGCTAATGGATAAGCCATGTGCACTTTCTCTACTACACCTGATAGATGACAGATTGCGCCTGTCAATGTTAAGCTTCCTAGTCTGACACTTTTTAGTTTTTATTGGCCTTAATCCTAGTGAGAAATTCCCTAAAGGCAACATGAAACCAGAATGTTTCAATTGTCCCTAAAGTTATGCACAATTCATTAGTGAATGTTATTCTGAAGCAAAACATTTACATGCGCATTATGAAATAATTTTTTCGTTATCTGAATGATTTTTCTTTATCCATTTTAATTGATAAAGCAGTAGCCTAACATGTTTAACGTTCCCTGTACAAACAAAAATATCAAGTTTAAAATATCAACCCTGCATTACATCTTGCTGAATATTCTGATTTACTGTTAACAGTATGAAAGCAAAATTAGTTGTGAATGTGATTTCATGTTGTCTTTTTAAAGTAGTTTGTGTTCATGCTCACTTCTGTTGAGTGTGATGATTTGGAGAACAGTGATAACTAGAATGTATCTTTGTAAGGTTCTACAGGTTCTGCAGGACCAAGACTCTTCACTATTCATTTAATTGATGCCAACACAGACAACCTGCCCAAAGCCCACACATGGTAAGATTTAGTCTTAATCGAAGATACTGAAAGCATATGTTTTTTTAAATAATGTAATACACTCTACTGTTGTCTTGTTATGAGGAATCAAACTTTCCTTGATATTTTGAAACAAAAGACTGTTTTCAAAATTAATAATAATAAGAAATGTTTCTTGAGGAGCAAATCAGCATATCAGAATGATTTCTGAAGGATCATGTGACACTGAAGACTGGCGTAATGATGCTGATAATTCAGCTTTACCACCACAGGAATAAATCATATTTTTAAATATACTAAAATTGAAAATTAAGTTATTATAAATTGTAATAATATTTCACAATATTACTATTTTACAGTATCTTATAGGGTCAAATAAATGCCGCCTTGGTGAGCTTAAGAGACTTTTTTCTAAAAGATAAAAAAAAACAGACCCCTAACTGTGACCCTCTTATGTATGTACTTCCATAATGTAACCTTCAGCACTCAAAACTTTCCTTTCTAGTCTAGAACAATCATTTATTGAAACTAAGCTGCAAAATAATTCTGAACTTCACACAGATGAATATATGCAAGGACACTGTTATTGCACTCACTCTCGTACCTGCAAACTAGTCGCTTTTCGGCGAAATCAAAATATGTCATTTATGTGAATTGTCTAGATCCGAAGATTTTTGGGGGGGGTCTGGGCGGACAGACAGAGAGAGAGAAATTGCAAGCTCGTAGACAGGAGTGTGTTCGACCGGGGTCTGGGCGGAGAGAGAGAGAAATTGCAAGCTCGTAGACAGGAGTGTGTTCGACCAAAGTCCCTTTCTCGGTTCGACTTGCGTAGACCGATGTGGTACTTTGATGTGCGATCGGTCTGCGCGCTGCTGCTTCAAATCGAACACAGCCGGTACGTTTTGACGGCACATCTTACGCTCACATCCGCATGTAAACATGTCATCGGCGTGGAAGTTCTTAATTGTGAGTTAAACAGTATTGTATACAATATTGACTTGTTTTTGCTCAAGTTCGCTGACGAAGTTTCAATCAAAGCCACAGCAGAACTGTTTTGTGTCTCCGAGCAACACAGCGGTGTTTCGTTACTGAATGAATCCACGTTTTTGAACGAATCAAGTGAGTCAATGATTCAGTAACCCATTCATAAAGACAGTAGTCACTTGCTCGTTTTTGAATGAATCCGCCGTTTGAATGAATGACTAATGACTTGCTCATTAAAACTGTCATTTACCGTCATCTACTGGTGGTTTGGTTTCATATTTAAAGGGGTCATATGATGTTGCTAAAAAGAACATTATTTTGTGTATTTGGTGTAATGAAATGTGTTTATGCGGTTTAAGGTTTAAAAAACACATTATTTTCCACATAATGTACATTATTGTTTCTCCACTATGCCCCGCCTTTCTGAAACGCGTCGATTTCTACAAAGCTCATCG